ATATTGGAGTATTCTGAGGCTTCCTGTGAACTTATTTTACTAAAGAGTTATATACTTTCAAGTGTTTTCTTGCTACTCTTTAGTATCATCTTCTTTCAGACTGAAAACTTCCCTTTAGCATGTCTTACAAGGCAGGTCTAGTGTTGATACATTCCCTTAGCTTTTGTTTGTTTGGGAAAGACTTTCTCTCCTTCATATTTGAATGTTAGTTTTGGTGGATGCAGAATTCTTGGCTGACAGTCTGTTTCATTCAGCACTCTGAATGTATCATCCTAATCTCTTTTTGCTTGTAGAGTTTCTACTGAGAAATCCACTGAGAGATAGATCTATTGGGGCTCTATTGAATAAGGTGTTTCTTTTCTTGTTGTTTTCAGTATTCTTTCTTTGTCTTTGGTTTTTACAAATTTGATTATGATGTGCCTTGTCATGTTCATCCTATTGAATTTGATTGGTAGCCTCTGAGCTTCCAACCTGGATATGGTCATCTTTCTCCATTTTCTTGAATATGCTTTCTAGGTCTTTTCCTTTTACCTCTCATTTAGTTATGCCAATTATGTGGTGGTTATTTCGCTTGATGGAGCCCCTTAATTGCTGTATTTCTGTTTTCTTTTTGCTGCTTTGATTGGAAGGCTGTTAAACCTTATGTGGAACCCAAACCAGATGAGGAATTGAATCTGATCCCCAAATCTCAGTGCCTCACTATCACACCTCAGTCCATCTCACTGGGGTTGGTACACATCAGACCACCAGTAATGAAAATAATGACAACAAGCTTCAAATTGACCCGGGGTAAATTTAAAAACTTCAGCAGTCAAATAGCTTTCAATAGCTCAGCCCTTAAGCTCAGTAACTCATTTGAGAAACAAAAACTAGACTAAAATCTACCTGTTTAACTAGATGGTCTGAAATTTTCTGGCATCCAGCTGGTTATCTTAAACAGACTTCTAAATTCTCTTCTAGGCTCATCTATGCATTTCTTCACAAAATCCTCTGGTAAAGTTCTATGCATTAAAAAAAAAAAAAAAAAGAAAACTTTCTCTGTATCTTCTTTTTTTTTTTTTTTTTCCTTTTTTGTCTTTTTTACTGACCGGTAATGGGATTGCAACCCTCGGTGTTGCGCTTGCACTGCACTCAGCCAGTGAGCGGGAACCGGTCTCCACATGGGATCCGAACCCTTTGCGGGAGTGCCACTGCGCTCCCAAGCGGCGCACTCTCCAGTGTGCCACAGGGCTGGCCCATCTTTCCTCTGTTTGATCTAGTCTGCCATTGGAGCTTTCTATCATGATTTTCAGTTCAGATAATGTATTCTTTATTTTCTAGAATTTCTGTTTGGTGTTATTTAATTGATTCTATTCCTTCACATTTCTCATTTTGCTCCTGAATTGTTTTCCAGATATCATTTAATTTTCTATCTATTATTTTCTTATGACTCCCTGAACATCCTTAAGAGGGTTATTACGAATTCTCTGTTCTACATTTCATAAATCTGCTGTGCTTCATTTGTTTCCTTTTTTGGCAACATATTTCTCTGTTCTTTCTTGATGTTCGTGTCTTTATGTTGATGCCTGGGCATTTGAGGGGACTGCTACCTCTTCCAGGTTTTAATAGGTTTCCTTTGGTGGTGGTAGACCTTTACTGGTTAATGTCAGAGCTTTGTCTCTGGTCTTTGTTTTTTTTAAATTCCATGGCAGATTTATCTACTACCAACACTTAAACTCTGCAGTGGAACTAATTTGCTGTCCTGTGGTTAATTCCCAAATTGGGGGAACTTCCTACTGGGACCAGAACTTAAGCTCTGTGCTTGAGCTAAATTACTGCTTTGCTGCTGATTCTCTGGGGAAGACTTTTTGTGCAGATCAGATTTTAAATATTGGCCTTTTAATCACTTCTGGTTCTATTGAGGTCGGCACAGAAAGAACTGAGCTGTGTGGAGATTCCAGCCTGGGACTGAGTCTTTCCTGCACACTGTGCCCCCATAATTCTGTTGCCCTGACTCTTCTGCACTGATTGGCGCCTGTGCCAGTTGAAAGGCAGATCAACTCCCCACGCTGTGCCCCAATGTTTCCCTGGTGGGTCAGCTTCAGCCTGTACTCCACATGCTTCCCACATGGCCAGCCATGTGTAGGACCCTCATGATGACTCACCAACCTGTGGGTGTCTCTCCTCCAGTCACTCTTATACCTGTCCAGGGGACCCCTGCCAGTGGCCTTGCTGGCCTAAGTATGCTACACTCTGAAGCCCTCTTCTCCCCTGCAAACTCCAAGCAGCTTCACTCAAAAGGTACTGTTATGGCTTTGTGTTCTTTTGCCATCTCCTGCCAGCTCCTCTGTGTACTGCAGCTGGTCCCTGCCCATCACCATACCAGATTGGAAGCAGCCAGGGCTCAGAAGGGTTGGAGTAGCCCCTTCTCTCTCTCGACACAGCCTCTCATAGTTCATGGGTCTTTTCTCCTTTTCTCCTGAGCTCCCGTGGTCCCAGGATTGCAGTCTTTGCTTTTTTTTTTTTTTTTTTCCTTTTTGTTTTTTTTCGTGACCGGCAATGGATCGCAACCCTCAGTGTCGCGCCCGTACCGGACCGGGACCGGCAACGGGATCGCAACCCTCGGTGTTGCTCCCGCACCTTGCTCAGCCAGTGAGCGGCCAGTCTGTATGTGGGATCCGAACCCTCGGCGGGAGCGCTGCCGTGCTTCCCAAGCGGCGCACTGTAGCAGTGCGCCACCGGGCCGGCCCCCCATATAAATTTTTTTTTTTTTTTTTTTTTTTTCCTTTTTGTTTTTTTTCGTGACCGGCAATGGATCGCAACCCTCAGTGTCGCGCCCGTACCGGACCGGGACCGGCAACGGGATCGCAACCCTCGGTGTTGCTCCCGCACCTTGCTCAGCCAGTGAGCGGCCAGTCTGTATGTGGGATCCGAACCCTCGGCGGGAGCGCTGCCGTGCTTCCCAAGCGGCGCACTGTAGCAGTGCGCCACCGGGCCGGCCCCAGTCTTTGCTTTTTAATAGTTGTAAATTGACTGGTTGTTTTGGGGAAGCAATGCTGGGGATTGTGTTTCACCATCTTAATGATGTCACTCTCCCTTCTCCAAAAATCTTACAATGTCACATATTCTGTCCATATTAAAATATGCCCCAAGCTATTTTTCTTCACTATGTTTTTCTAATATAGGATCCAAAAAAGACCACAAAACCTTAAAAAAGTCTTATGTGCATACACACATAACTTTTACAGTTGTAATAATTAGGGAGTTATCTTAAAATATGTTAATTACATTTATTTAATTTTGCTTGACTTACATCTAAGGGGAATATATTTAATTTTCATGTCTTCAGAAAAGTCATGATAAATTGTTAGGCTATGAATTTTCTGAGTTTGCTATCTAATATAAAAATGTAATGGAAAAAGATTCTTTACTATATTTAATATTAGATTACATGCTAAATTATAGTACAGAGGGAGGAGAGACAGTAGGCTAAATATTAAGGAAACAGTTTTGTAGTTTAAGTTCAACCACCATATCTTTTTGTGATTGAATTGTTAGTTTGTGTCCTATTTAGTTTTCTTGACTGTCCTTCCTCTTGTGGGGTTTTTCTCCATCCAGTTTTCATTAGTATCTCTCCTAGGGAATTATTTTAAACAGATGAAATTCAAACAAGTTCATTTGGCTAATTGGGGTCATCTCTGGCTAAACATTTATTGACCTGGGAGACCAAAAATATAGCTCATTTAAGCATTTGGAGAAGGAAAATTCTGGGTATTTTATCGTTTATTTTCTAGTAATGTATATCTGTTCTCAACAGCTTATAACAATTTAAATAATTGTTAAATGGAACTAGTCTCCAAATTCCTCTGTCAGTTTGGAAAGGTGATGTCTTAGTCTGTTTTGTGTTGCTATAACAGAATCCCACCAACTGGGTAATTTATAATGAACAGAAATTTATTTCACTTATGGCTCTGGAGGCTGGGAAGTCTGAGATCAAGGAGCTGGCATCTGGTGAGGGCCTTCATGCTGCATCATCTCATGGTGGAAGGTGTCACATGGACAAGGGAGATGGGGAGGAAAGGGGGCCTAACTCATCCTTTCATAAGGAACCCACTCCTGTGATAACAGCATTAATCCATTCATAGTCCAGAGCCCTCATGACCTAATCACCTCTTAAAGGTCTCACCTCTGCAATGGGAGTCATGTCTCCAACCCATGAACTTTGGGGGACATGTTCAGCCATATCAGGTAGTATTACTGAGTCTGCCCTCAGCACTGTGATTATTCCTTCTAGCTCTTTAAAGACAAATGGACTAAAATGTAATGAGATAATATGACAAAGCAATGGTAAATGTGACCTGGGCAATAGTATGTATCTGACGTATTCTTGCATCTTATTATTTTAAGATATTGATGTTTTGAAAGGAATCTGAAACCTATTTAAGCCTATGAATTCATGCTACTCCGATCACCTCTGTTGTAGCCCGTTTGTGTTGCTATAACAGAAATACCTGAGACTGGGTAATTTATAAAGGAAGGAGGTTTATTTGGTGTACGATTCTGGGACAGCTGCATTTGGCACAGGCCTCAGGCTGCTTCTACTCATGGCAGAAAGTGGTAGCAGCTGGTGGGTACAAGCAGATCACATGGCGAGAGAGAGAGAGAGAGAGAGAGGAGAGAGAAGGTGCCAGGGTCCTATAAACAACCAGCTCTCATGGGAACTAACAGAGTCAGAACTCACTCATTAACCTCCCCTCCCCCAGGGAGAGCATTAATCCATTCATGAGGGATCTGCCCCCGTGACTCAATCAGTTTCTAACACTGCCACACTGGAGATCAAATTTCCACATGAGTTTTGGAGGGGACAACACATCCAAACTCCATCAACCTCTGAAGGGGGAAGAAAATTACCAGAGTTTGTTATAATACCTTGAAAAACCTTCTAAGAGTGTGCTAGCCTCACTGGTTGCCTGTTTTTCTCTCAGTACTAGTATTCAGTTGGGTGTCTTTCTCATGAACAGGAAGGAGCTGACTGCTGATGCTCGGGAGCTGAAAGGGGAACTGTACTGCTTGCCGTGCCATGATAAGATGGGGGTCCCCATCTGTGGTGCTTGCCGACGACCCATCGAAGGGCGTGTGGTAAATGCCATGGGCAAGCAGTGGCATGTGGAGGTGAGTTCTAAATGGCATAGAAGTAACAAACACTTTAGAATTTCCGTGATTCAGGTGTGTTAGCAAGATTAGGAGATTCTAATGGTTAAAAATGGACATTTTAGGGGCCGGCCCGGTGGCGCACTGGATAAGTGCGCCGCTTGGGAAGTGCAGCGGCGCTCCCGCCCGAGGGTTCGGATCCCACATACAGACCAGTTCCCGCTCTCTGGCTGAGCGAGGCGCGGGGGCGATGCCGAGGGTTGCAGTCCCGTTGCCGGTCCCTGGT